TGACGTCACTGTGCGATATCAGCTGTTGAGCAAGTCCCAATGCTGTATCTGGTGTTTCTCACAACACGCTATTATCCAAGTCATCTAAAAAACATTCTTCTTCGTAACGTTGCCTACATATGACGAGTTTTTTCCTCTGGCAAGATGTTCGATGGCAAATCCTCCCTCTTCAAGTTGTCGATCCAACGACAAACTCGTGGATCATGAATCGGAAAGGTGAAATGACAACTTTTTTTTCACTTTTACCTGATGTATTGCAACATCCAACTGCCATGCACGTGGGCATTGTCACTTTAACAATAGCTCTCCCGAATTTCAATAGTGAAGTCGTCTCGAAATCTAAAATAACTGTTGTTGATTGCATTAGTGCATAATAGTTCCCATTGATTTAATGTTGCTAGGATTATCGCACCATGACGTTACTGCCGGAAGATGTTACTATATTTGGGCATTAATGGCCGCTCCCGGACTCTGTGATTGCAAGGAAAATTATTATTTTCATTTTTTTACTGATAAACGCTAAATTCATTAAATCACTACAAATGTATTAGTTTTAGGTATAAATAATGAGCCATTGATTATTCCTTGCTGACCGGACTTTTTTTCCAACTCATAAAAGCCAATAAAGCCAAGCCAATCTCTAAATTGCAAGGAAAAGAACAGAACAACTAAACGCACAGAGCATTGATTATCTTGAAGTGCAAGCCTACTAAAAAGAAATGCAATTTTTTTACAAATCATGTGACATGAACATATATTCCTCTAAATACCACATTTTTATATTTTATAAATGTATATAAATGTATTTGCATTTTCCAAAATGCAAATACATTTATATAAACTTACAGTCGGCCCAGTCCAAATATCGAGCTGCAGGTGCCAAACACCGTTGTCACATGCTGGGTGTTCCGATAAATTTAACTTCAGGATCATTCTAAGCTCACGAAACGCACACCTGGGAAATCCGTTGTGAATAAATATATCTAACAAACACCCACAGCGCGAGTCTGTGCACACATAACCATATGTTTTTATGCTTTCCAAATACCTAGTACTCAGACGCATGTATATTAGGTTCGATTTATGGCTTTCAGCATCTGGTTGTAAAATATGTGCGACCAAGCAGCAATATTCGTGAGCTGCTGTAGTTTTGGTGACAAAATGCTGAGAAGGAGAAAGTTAAGATTGGATTTTAACTTCAAAGAAATATCTATCCATCCTTCAACCTTCCAAATCCACCAGCCTGAAATAGCAGCCAGCTATCGATGCATTTCTGCTTACAAAGATGCCTACATATGTACATTCATCCTATTTTCTCTATCCATCCATCCCTATGGAGGACCAACTTTGCCATATTTAAAAATAAATACAGAAATAAATAAATGCTCAATAAATAAATAAGCATACAATTAATTACCACCAAAAATACAATAAACAAATAAATGTAAGTAGAAATTAAATTATACAGTGAGACATAAATGTATATAACTCTTTTGATTAGCTTCTTTATTTATTTGCCTTTGTAATATTTACCTTATTTATTTTTTTGTCCTTTATAATCTTCAATTTCATTTTTTGATTACTTATACTTATACATCCCACCATCAATCCCTGCTTATTCATCTTTGTATTCATCTGTTTCAGCAGTCAGTATCAATTACTACCAAGGAAAAAGCATTTTGGTTTTACTAAATGAAACACCTGTATTATATTTTTTAAGTTGTAAAATTGTATAATCTGTATAAGAGGTGTTGCTGTGCAATTAAACGACCTGAGCAATTTTTTTTTCAACAAAAAAAAAATTCTATGCAAAAATTGCATAAAAATTGACACTAAATGCCAGAACTGGGAGTTCTTCTTCCCTGTAAGATTTAAAACCCTGCCCAAATAAATAAATGATTATATTTATTTCAGTGGAGCAGAGCTTCAAAGCCCCAACTTGCTCCCTGAAGCTCTCTGATTATCCACTTTTTCATAAAAGACTTCTGAACAGATTTTTGCTTTTGTATTCATTTGTGTTTGTTTCATTTTAATATATAGCATGTTAAACATGCCTATTCTTCTTTGTGAAATACCAATCTAGTGTCTGTATTTCTCTTTCGGGGCACCAGTAGATTATACCAACATCAAAGACAAGTTTTTGGATTTCACCGTTAGCCCCTGCTCCATTTAATGTGAAAAAAATAAAACAGATCAGAGTAAAACTGTGAACAGCAAACATTATGTCTGTTTTTGATTTTTGTCAAAGCCATTTTGTTGTTTTGTGGTAATAAGTCCCAGGCTTTGCTTTGATTTTTGCAGAAAGCTAAATTGATACAGTATGCTTTGAAAATTTGCTAGATGTAAGGGGGGTATGTGGCATTAGTACTACAACAGCTGGTAGGGTCTTTCAGGAACAGTGCTCCACTCATTTTTTTATTATGTAATCCCTGAAAAGAGAAAGAGGTGGAAGATGAGGAATCTGGAGAGGGTGACGGGGTGAAGACAGATTTGTCTCCTGAAATCTGTTGGATGACATGGTTTTCTTTGCCTCTCGCTTCATAAATGCCACGTTTTAACTGGAGCAACACTGTCTCTGTATTGGGAATAAATGCAGGAATGGGAAAACTCGCAGCGGGGCATCTTTGTGTGTGTGTGTGTGTGTGGCACCTTAGTCAATATAAACCTGTCTGACTGGCAGCTGTCTCATAGCACCAGCTCTATAAATGCACATCAGTTTTAACTGACAGCAGATAATACACAGATCTCACTGGTCTGTGATGTTTCTCTCAGTTAAAAGGCTGTTTCTGGTTTTCTTTAGGCCTTTCCTGTCTGCTGTAGTGCAACGTCGTAGTTGATTAAAAAGTGGTTTCAACAAATGAGGAGTAAACATTCAAACGTTTTGAATAAATCAAAGAAGTGCCAGTCTTAAAACAAAAAAACAAAGCAAAATAAAAAACAAATGCCTACAAAAAAATGTTTTTCAACTAAGAAGGCATTTGTGGTTTTAAAAAAGGTTGTTATATAATTTCATGTGTTTGATTATTTCAAATTTCCAAATGGAGCATATTATGAGTTGTATTTTCTATCAAACTAATGCATTAAAGAGACATCATGCACATTTCTATCGAAGAATATCTTCAAAACAGCCTTTTTATTTGAGCCTTTATAACTAAAACTTTGTTAAATAAGCAGACTGACACATCTGTATATCACCAATACATATATAAGCCTGTAGCCTATTTTCCTGAATTTACTCGGTTTAAAATTTCCCACGCTTTTCTGCAGATGCGACATTGAGCTCATCCATGTTAAATGGGTTTAGCCTGGCAAACAATCAAAGTCTTATATTCAAGATGGATTTTTTTGGATAGAAGCGACTGGTGCTCTGTCAGAACAGCATATGCCAGATCGGCATACATTGTTCTAATACACATCTGCAACAGAGAATTATTCCCACATTTAATTTTAGCAGCAATGTACCAACTAGCAAAAACACCTTTATTTTAACCTTAAAAAAAGAAAATCAGCTTTGATTATACTGTTATTTGTTGGATGCAGAAATAGCCAGACATGATTGAGGTTTCGGGATGTTGAGAGAAGAAGCCTCTATAACTAAAACCATATAAGTCAATATTAATTTAAAATAAGTTACTTTAGTAGTAAAAAAAAAAAAAACTTGGTTTGATTTTGTTTTCATGTTTAAAATCATAGAAAACATTGGCTGTGTTTTATAATGTGACTTTGAATTAATTTAGGTTAGATAAAAACCTAAGCGTATGCCAATCTGACAGCGTATGCTGTTCAGACTGAAAAGCTGCATTCGGCTCAACTCAGACACCAATGGTAGCTCCTAAGGTAAAAGAGTACCTTGTTAAGGACCAGCATGAACTACAAGAAAGAGCTGAAGGGTGCTGCAGTTCTATTTTTTGACCACAGGTGGCAATATCATTCGAAAACTGTAATGTCACTTTAAAATCAGTAAGCATGGCTAAAAATTGGTTCAAAAACCCTTTGGTTTCACCAGGCGTGGTGGATCAGGTTAACCAATCAGTTTGGGTCTTTTTATTAAAGAGGCATTACGGAGTTTTCTAATGATACACCCACCTGTTGCCACAGAAGTGCAGCACCTTTCTAATCGTCCTCGTAGCACGTGCTCAGACAAGTTTTTTTTTTTTTTTTTTTTTTTTTTTTAACCAAACATTGAGTTGCCATTGGTGTCTGAGTTTAGCTGGATGCCAGTCGCTATTTAGTATCCACAAAATCCATCTTGAATATAACGCTTTGATTGTTTTCTAGGTCGGACCCATTTAAAATGGACACTCCCGACGTCACGTCTGCGGAAGAGCGTAGGAACTTCTGACCCGAACTAAATTCAGGAAATAAAAAACAAGCTACAAGCTTATTGATGCTTTGGCACTGAACTACTGAGGTGTCAGTCTGCTTATCAAATTATGTTTTTTTCTTAGTGCCAAATAAAAAGACTCTTTTAAAGATATTTTTTAGTAAAAACGTATAAAATTTCTCTTTAAATTACGTCTTTCCTCAAAAAGGTTGAAGTAATGAATCCAACACATTAATTTAAATGTCTAATATTTTTTTTATTTATTTAATCTTTTTTATTTCATGTTTTAATTTGTCACATTCTTACTTTCTGTTATGTAACCTATCTTATATATTTCCCTTTGAAAAATATGTATTTATATTAATGGGTTGAATTACTAACTTTGTTTTCTCATTCTTAGTTTTTTTTGTTTTCACATTTGTTTGAAATAGTTAAATGAAATGGAAAAACAATTAAATAATTACAAATAAATGTTTTTAAATTAATTTATTTCTTAACAGTTTTCATTTGATTACCAGATTATAAAACCCAGTTAATCAATGAATTAAAAATACTAAATACTCTTCTTTAATCTGAACTTCAGTATGCTTGATACAGATTTATTTTTAGAAAGCTGGTAAAGTTTCCAGTTGGACATAACCTCATTACCTCTTTTTTTTCTCCTTTTGACCTGCAGACATCCCAGGATGCACATCAAAACGGGCCTGGTGGACGCTCATCTCTACTGTCTGAAAAAAGCTGTTGTTGACTTTCTTACAGAAAACAAGCAAGTATTCCAGTTATCTATTTGAGTTTGAATTTTCTAACATTTCCTAAAGATAATGTATATTTTTAGCAGTTTGTGTTTAAAATGCAAAGATCATTGACTGGCATACATGTAGACTAGGGGTGTGCAAAATAATCGTGATGATGATGCATCGTGATTCTAATTTTCGTGATCTACTGAATCGATTCTTGATGCCAAGAATCGATTATTAATTTAAAAAAATGAATAAATAAAATTGCATGAATGGTTGGCGAACATCAGCCAAAAACAAGTGCAATACCACTTCCAGTCCAGTAGATGTCGCTGCAAATGTGTTGACGCACGCTGCCTTGTGTCACAAGCATTTTCGGCCGTGGGATACTGTGCCGAGTCATTCAAAAACAAAACATGGAGGAGAAAATATGGCAATGCATCGCAATAATTCAAGTATCGTGATGCATCGTGATAGAATCGCATCGTGGCCTGTGAATCGTGATTCGAATCGAATCGTGACTTCTTTGGCAATACCCACCCCTAATGTAGACATGAGTAAATCCACACAGGGACATCAACAGGAACCCTCAATCACTGCCTAATCTGTTGCAACTGTTAAAACTGGGTTCCACGGTGTGGAAGGCTTTGAACGGGTCTGTTAGCGCAGTATTCTAGCAAGGTGTTAATTTGTTTTACTATGTGCCAGTGAGACAGGCTGTTAGGCCTTTAGCCTCCAGAGTAAAGCAGTGTGACACTGGCTCTTTCAGTTGCAGCCTGAGGTTTATATTACCCAGATGGATCTATGTGATATCAACATGTCGTAAATCTAGAGAATTTCTAGACAGTTATGTGGCTCTCCTGATTTAAGGAGAAAAAAGTTTTTTCTAGTTGAATCAAAATTGGTGGACGAAGCACAATTTGCAAACAATTATAGGGGTTTTACTCTTTTATCATTTTACAAGGATGAAAAACAACTGGTGGTCCACTTTGAGTACTGGTCACAGACATGCATACACTCATAGTCATGGTATTCATGAGCGTGCTGAATGTTTTGGCTTTTGTTGATGCATTTCAATACAATTTTAAAGGGTAACCCAAATAGTACACGTTTAACCTAAATGTATAATGTTGGATGTTCTTTTTCCGGGTGGTTCATCAAAATAAGTGGTTGTCCTAATTGTCAATCATTGTGGTGATATGTTTCTGTAAGGCCGTCCTATGTGCTCATCCCGAATTTTCACTTCACTTATCTAGTCTGACATATTGGAAAAGTTACAAATCCTCCACTATAACTTTAAGTAATTTTCGTTCAGTAATCCAATTTTATTTTGGATTTTCTCCAATCCAAACAGAATAAAATTGTACAATAATCACCACTGATATTTGGAAAAAGTGGACCTTAGCAAGTTGCAAAGCACCCATAGAAAATCTGATCATTAGCAAGTTCCTGCCTCACTATTTGACCACTTTTAATATCAGACATAACAGAGACTTACTACTCTCTGCTGATATGAGGTGAAATTTGAAAATTAGGATTTGCTTAATATTTATTACTTTAATGACTTTGTGCTAAGAATCAGTCCCTCGGGAAGTTAAACAACCTTTCAGTATGATATGACTATCACTATGCCTTACTGGTTTTTGTTTGAATGTTTCACCTCTACCAAACAATTGTTCTGCTACTATTGCCCGTTTGTTCAGTTTTAATTACCCTTTTTATCTAAAAACCCTTTGTCTTGTTTAGTAGATTAATGCTGATTATAACCAGACTTAAAGAAATTTGTTTTTTAACAGCATTACTTTGCTTGTAGACAGCTTCTCAGTCCAATCGGATTTTAAACTAGCCTTGCAGTGGACAGGGACCCTGGTGTCACAGGTTAAGATCGGCTTGAGCCTTTAAAATTGAGCACATTTAGGAAAAAACATAAACAAAAAACTGCTTTGGAAGACCTATGTTTCCCATTATCTTCCCCAAATCCATGACCATGACACGTTCTACATCTGGACTATGATTAAAAACAGGAATCATGCCAGGGAGCTGACTACTTTAGATAAACTCCACTATTTCTGATTAGTAGACCTGCCATAAAAGCAGCCAGGGTTATACCAGCTTGCTGATAGCTACATAAACTGTGTGGCTTCTTTCCAACTTTTCTCAAAGAGTTGAGCCAATATGCTTAATAACTTTCTACTATTGAAGAAAAACTCATATAAATAGAAGTTCCAAGACTTTCCATTTCGTTTTGACTTTTATTCAAAACCTACATTTAAGATTCCTCTTCACTTTACTATTACTGGAGATATTTGTGTCTCGGTTGCTTTGTTTTCTTCTGGGCATGAACTGAACAACAGAGTATCAAGCTCTGCTTAGATGGAATACTTGGAGTCACTTTATGCAAAAAGTCTCTGCAATCATCGCAGTTATGTTAACAATGAACAGGCTTTATGCTGGTAGGAATCAGACTTTGTCTATCTTTACAAATCCAGAACAATCCTACTTACTGCTTTTATTTACAGATAAGAGAAAATCTGGAAAGTTATTAAAAAACTTCAGAGGTACATATTACCTGGACTATTAGAATGATGATAGGTTTGTGCTGTTTTATCTTTTTCTACGTTTTATTTCTAGAAACTCCTGCTTAAACAGCATTAATTCAGCCTAAATCTCCTGCTATGGATGTAAGACCAGAGTGAGTTCTCCCCCCCTTTATAAAATTGACCTATCCTTCTCAAACTACTTCCTGTCCATAAATTCAAGCAAATCCTAATTCACTTCTGCTCACCCCACCAGTATTTTTAGTTAAAGAGATTTAGATATAAATCTTACATCAATCATTGCGTTGCGAATGCCCCCTCGCCCCCGTCATAGATCGTCTCTCTTGTTAGATGACTCATTCCTTTCTCCAGCTCCTTTCTTGGACTCTCTTTTCAGCCGCTCTTCTCGGGCTCTCCTCCTTCCTCCTCCGTGTTCTTTCTCTGTCCCTTGCTGGAGGACAGAAATGGACAAAGTAACTGTTGTTTTTCTCCTGTCATTCAAATGAAAATTCTAATCTCCCTTCAAAAGAAAGTAAGTGGAGGGGGTCTGGGGATGCGGGGCGGTGGAGGGGAACAGGGACCAAAAGAGAAGCTCAGTGCAAACAGACGGAGATGATGAGAATAATTAGAGTTCATCCTCATGTGGTTTTGTTCTAAACTTTTATTAGGAACATCTACTGCTTATTGTTTTAAACAGAAATAACTATCTAAAATTTTGCCTTAATGAAATAATAATTCCCTTAATCCATTTTGTGTACCTGCTAAAGCTCAGAGTGCTTGGTAGTGCATCACAGGATCTGAGAAATCCTTTCTATATCTGGAGCAAAAATGTCTATATTAAAATGTTTCTCCTTTGTTTCTTCTCTTCTTTTTTTATTAGGTCCATTTCATCAATTCGTGGAGAGTTAGTACCATATTTAGTGCGCAAGCAGTTTTCCAAAACCACTAACAGTCAGAAAGTGAAAGAAGATTCTGAGGATCAGACCCAGAAAAAGAATGTAAATCATACAAACCATGGTTAGTGTTTGCACTGAAATATCAAATTTTTCTTCATCAGAACTAGGGAAAATAACATTTTATTAAGCTGTTTTGTAAAAATATGTTTGATTCCCAGATAAGAGACAAAAATTGTCAAAATCTGCTGTGATATTTGATTTTTTTTTTTTTTTTTTTGCTAATCTGGTTCTTTTTCTGGCTCAAAGAGCTTCTCATCTCATCACGGGACGAGTCTCTTCTCCAGTTGGCTCAGGAACGGTCCTGCTGGAATGATCACCGCGGTGACATGAGTGAGGCTTACCACGGAGGAAAGCTTCGCTGCTACGTTCACATTATGGACCAGGGCCTGTGCTACCGTGTTAACACACTCGCTGCTTACATAGAGGCTAACCGACAGGTAAGTCTGAGAATTAGCCCACTCTTCTGATACTGCATCTTAAAATAAATTGTTTCTACCTAGATATATAGATACATGATCAGAACTGTGTTAAATTTTCCATCTTTGTGTTTTTAAAGTTTTGATATGCTTGGTTTAGCCTTCCTGTTATCAGTTAAAAATGTTATTCTCTCTCTATAAACTCTTAAGAAACTGTAGCCATTTTATCGAAGATAAAACTGTTAATGGCTGTTTTACTTTTGTGCTTCCTCTTTAAATATACACCTCACTGAATTGAAAAAGTTGACTTTTATTCTTCTCTCTAATTCCGCAACAATGTGACAATAACCTGATAGCTCTTTTAGTTTCGAATCACAGGTGCAGGCTGATCAAGGTGGACGTTAGTTCATTCCAGTCACCTCCCAATTTCTTTTCCTTTTACTTATAGATCCAGAAATCCTTCATAGTAATTTGGTTATTAAATATGTTTTCTGCTCTCTAATATTTTGTCACACGGTTTTTCTCACCATTAGGTCCCAAAGCTGTTTGAGGAGCCAGCAGTTCACCCATCTGCTGCCATTTCTGAGAGATGTCAGGTGAGCATTACCCACAAAAGCAGAAGACGCCGACCCACTAGTCAGTATCTTCTGCTTTTTATTTCTTTCTTGTATCAATTCTCATTTCATTTATTCTTCATATCGCTGATGAAGGTTCTCAGTCATCCAGGTCATAGTCATTCCTTAAAAATTCAAAAAATATCCACTGGACTAGGTTTTCAAGATTTGAAGACGTTTCGCCGCCTCTCCAGGAAGCTTTCTCAATTCAAATGTCTGGATCCGCAGTGAGTTTGAGTCTTATATGGACAAGGCCTTGTATAGCTTGGAAACATTGGTTAACATTGCATGTTTCCAAGCTATACAAGGCCTTGTCCATATAAGACTCAAACTCACTGCGGATCCAGACATTTGAATTGAGAAAGCTTCCTGGAGAGGCGGCGAAACGTCTTCAAATCTTGAAAACCTAGTCCAGTGGATATTTTTTTGAATTTTTTGAATTTTTACGGAATTCTTCATATCATTGTGTCCATTTTGTTTATTACCTGTGACTCAGAGTAGTTCAACAGTTTGTGTTTGTCCTGCAGGTGGGCTCAGACAGCCTCATTGGAGCTCAGTGCCAGATAGCAGATAAGACGTCCATAAAAAGATCCACCATTGGAAACTCTAGTACAGTGAAAGAGAAGGTCAAAATCACCAACTCCATCATCATGCATGGAGTTACCATAGAGGAAGGGTGAGCATGCTATTACCTGTACACACACTATTGTCCAACAGCTCACCATCGTCCACTGAATCTATCCTTGCAGCAGATTCCCTATTTAAACTCTTATCACTTTAAAGGAGCTTAAAAGGAGGGGATTTTCCACTCAACACACATTTGTGCAGATTTTGTACTGCAGATATGTGATGGAGTGTTTGTGTGTGTCTTGAAAGGAAGTGTTGCTGTTTTGTTTTCTGAGGTCACACAGAAGTGGCAGCGTGAACAAAGCATCTATTAGTGTGCAGCCAACCAGAGACCACCGCCAAACAAACACAGTTTCTTATAGAGAAACCCAACATTTGTTTCGGAATCAGTTAGCCCCCAATCCTCTCACCTGAACCCAGTTACCAAGTGGTGGGGGAGGGTCATTTATTTATTTGCCATAGTTAGTTCTAAATTCTTAAACAGTCACGTCTGCTAAAGTTTCCTAAGACAAAATTAGGGACAAAATGTAATAAGGTGAAGTAGATGGGTACAAGTAGAACGGAATGTGAGGCACCCACTTCTGCCCGCTCTCATTCCTTACAGTTTGCCAGCCCATTTCCAGTTCTGCTAATGCTAATGCAAACCTTTGATGTTCAAGTTAGATGGTTGTTGGTTTTTGTGTCTGAGCAATTGAAATCCAAATAGAAGTAATTTCTGATGCCTATCACAAATGTGTCCATTAATCACTCCTGTTAGTGCAGATTCCTTTTATGTCACCAATTGTCTCATAAAATCTGTTAAAACTATTATTCATATATTATCATATTTCTCTATAATTAATATGTCTCTTCTGCACCACTATAGATGTTCTGTGGATGTATATTTTCAAAATATTTATCTTTTTCTGAGAAGATTGTAGCCATGGTCTTTAATTATGAAATGATTGTTTGTGTCATAATTTTAATTTAACTACATGTAAATAAACAAATATATCCCTAACTAGTTTAAAATGTGAATAAATAATTCAATATGTTTTCAAGGTACACAATAGATCAAAACACAGATGTCTCCACAGACTGGTGCTAGATTGGATGCAAAGCTAACAGGCAGTAATTCCTCACGCTGTCTGAACACAGTGGGGCCCCTTAGGGGTTAGTGTTGAGTCTCAAACTAGCCATACAGAACATGTATAACATAGTAATAGATCAAATTAAATTGTAATTGTTCTACCTACAGATGATGGATAATTTGATGACTATCGCGAAATCAAATAACTTAATTAGATGTAATAGAAACCAATTTTCTTCAAACACTAAAGCTAAATTGAACTTATTTTAAACACCCTTTTCTGTTGTATTTACTGATTGTTTTTTTTGTTTTTTTGTTTTTTTTAAATGGACCCTAGGAAGAGTAATCTCTACTCTTATTGAGACTAATGGGAATCCTGAAATACATCAAATAAATAGAAATATGGAAGTGAAACCTTTCAGTTTGCCAATTTTTAGATTTGACTTTATATCATACATTATTAAAACCACATATTAGATCAATCTAAGTCCTTTAAAATAATCAGGTTTATGTAAAACAGGCACTTTTTTTTTTTTTACAGATGTCTCCAAATACTTTATTCCTCCCTTATTGTAGCATATCTGGAGCAACATAAATCATCTCTGGAACCATTATGAAAACTAGAGAAATGACTGAAAAGAAGAATTTAACAATTCTGCTTGTTTTGTGATTGCATTTTATAAAGCAAAAATTAAGTATAGATTATATTCAAACAGATCTTAACGCTTTGTTGATTAAACTCCACAATAAGTCCTCCTGAGACATTTTGGTTTGTCTACAGCTGAGTTAGCCCCGCCCGCTAACTCTCTAACCTCAACAGTTAGAATAAATTCCTGATGTGCTGCAGCAATCAGCATCAAAAAATATTCATTGCAACAGACATATTAATGCTTTTTGTTCTGCATTTGTTTTAAAATGTACATAAACATTTTAGCCTTTTGATGAACAATTTACCCATATATATATATATATATATATATATATATATATATATATATATATTTTAAAAAAAGTCTTCTGGATAATTTCTTTGAATAAATATCATACAAGGTTAACTTTTATTGTGCTTCTAATGCTTTTGATTTAACTTAAAAAAAGATGTTTTGATCTTAACATTTTTAACACTTAACAACTGTTAAAATATTTTTTAAAAAGTAATAGCATCTGTATCTAAATAAAAAAAAAAAACAGAAAGCATGTGATGCTCAATGATCAGCATTCTGCTAAATGCCATCTCACTTTTTGCAGGTTCTTAGAGTAAAAACAATGTGCCGATCCATCAAGATCAGCAGTAGCTACAGTAGAATTAGCACCTGGGTCGATCAACTTGGCCTCTAGTCCAGATTTTAATGCACTCGTTCACAAGGTCCTTTCTTTTATCTCAATTTCTTACTCCTCCTCCCTTTCTTTTCATCGTGGAGCCACCGCCATCTCCCTTCTCTTTCTGTCTCCAACCATCCCTCCTTAAGCCCTTTCAGGGAGCCGGGCCAGGCAGCGTGGAGACCCTCATCATGCCCGTGTAGGTGCACACACAAAGCCAGAGAAGAATGAGAGAGACAGGAGAAGGGAAGAAAGGAGCGAAAGGAAAGCAAGCTAGCGCTCAAGAAAAAAAAAAATTGCAATTCTTTCTTTTACTGCTTTGAGGACATAAGAAGAAAAAAGAGGGAAAGAAAGAAAGAAAGAAAGAAAGAAAGCACCAGTATGAGGGGATTAGCAGACCCCAGCCATGTCTCTGAAACCCTTTACATTTCTGATTTCTTTGTTTGGAGCTGACCAGAGCTTGTTGACAAAGCACTGCGTGTTCGAGGAGGGGGATAGTAGGGGTCAACTTTATAGGATGGGTGGCACAGGAGGTGGGGGATGATGTGTGTATGTGTTTGTGTATGTGCTTGTTTGTGTAATAGGGAGGGAGGATGTGGGGGTCATGACAAGGAGGAGCCCTGGTGTTAGTAATTAGTGGTGTTTCAGCTCTGAAGCTTCCTTGGTGGTCTCCCTTTCTCTGTAATGTTACAAAACTCTGAATCTTGTAATCTCCCGTCACCAACTACCACCACTACCTCCTAGGTAGTCACTTACACACACTGCAACACACACACACACCAAATATCTGTCTTTCCCCCTCCTGGTCTAACCACCTGAATAAAACAGGCCAATACAAACCTGTCTGTGTGTGAGTTACGGAGAGCCAAGTGTGTGTGCGTCACTGCCTGGGCAAGACCCACGTGTGCTCACCACTTGGCTCCCTCTAGCCTCTGAAACACACACACAGATTCTGTGTCTTACACGCTTGCGCATACACAGCCTTAATGGTTAGTCGGCTGCTGGACACACAGGCAATGTCTGTGTGTCCCTCCAAGAATTTTATGGTGATGGTTTGGCTGAATGGGGGCAGGCACGGCGGGTTGGCAGGGCGCGCTCAGGTGGAACTGCAGCACAGGGCCTTTAACACACACAAACGCATTCACGCGGCATAGGGCGATGTTATTACGGTAGCTGACATCAATGCTAATGGCATGTCATTAAGTTTAGATGATTGGATATTTGTGAGTTTTCATGGCAGGTGTGGCGATCCTTGAGAGGAAACGAGCACCCTGCTCTGTCCTTCCAGTTTGCGCTGCAGCTGTGAGAGGAAAGCCGTACATAAAGGCTCTCTGACTCGTTTGCAAAAGAACATGCGGCTTGGTCGAAAAATAATATATTTTAACACTAACAGGGAAACGGACTTACTTCTTGCAGGTGCTACATAAGTTGAATTTATAAGCTGATTTAACTTTATAACTCACCAGTTGCTCCTTAAAAGGTTCCTACTCAGTCTTTAAAAGTGTGGAAAAGTACGAAAGCTGTCACTTTTCACTTCAGTGTAAGGAGGGAGAAAAAAAATCCCTTAAATTTCCAGATTTGATTCACTTCTTTATTATCTGGAAGATGGAAACAGCTTCCCGGAAGGTCTACTTTCTGGTTTGTTTATTCAAATGTGTTTTATTCTTGACTGGTCACATTAAAGCCTAATATCCCACACTGCTCAAACAGATGCTACCTTCTTCATTGTCTTGTTGTATAAATATCAATTAAACATCTGTTTCTTTGTTTCTACCTTTCCAACAGAAGCTGCGTTAATCTTTGGTGTTTTCTCTCCCTTGTGCGAATGATGGCCATCTCTTAAATTTTATTCATGCATGATTCTAACAACCCTCCCAACACTAAATGTTTGCTTGATCACCAGATGCAACATCCAAGGCAGCGTAATCTGCAGCAATGCAACCATTGGCAGGGGAGCAGATCTTAAATACTGTCTGGTTGGAAACGGACAGCGAGTCGAGCCAGAAGGTAAGTCAGAGCTGCACGAACGGATCAAAACTTAGCACACAAAAAAACACTCTGAGTATGATCTTTCTTATTTCACCTTGTTGGTTTGGGCTTGTTTAAAATACCCATTATTAACATTCAGAGTCTTTGTGACATATAATAGTGATGAAGGCGTTTCCACTGGAAACTTCACTGAGTGTGATATACCGACCTAAGCTGGCCAAGATTTTATTAGTGCAACATCAGGACCTGTTCATGACATTTTCATCAAACAGCTGCACTGTTTTTTTAATCTTGCAATAATTCAGCATAATTTTTCATGGCTGGTGCTAGTGTCACAGCATCAAAGACTTGGTAGAAATTAGGAATGTTCTCTTTTGTTTTGATTAGTTTTTATTTCCAGAAGCAATATGTGGTTTTATTTTAGACTGATTCAGTTTTATAGTTCTATCAACTATGCCACTTTATAAATAAAGAACTGTAGCTCATATTTTTTATTATACACCATTAGATCTGAAACAATTAATCAGATTAGTCTTGATTAATCGATTATTGAAAAAATTGTCAACTAATTTAGTGATCAATCAATTCTGAACTTGAGTATAGACTCTAAAACACACCTTTAGCTTACAGAGTGACCCACCTTGAGCAGCAATTATAAGAAAATATTTAAACATTTCATATTTAAACATCTAAACCTTTTTAATCTGTCAACATGCTCTATCCAGAAATCCTCAAGTGGAAAAGGTTTAGTTTCACCTGGTTTAATTTCGTAAAAAGTCATCTTTAAGAAACCTTTTGCTATCCGATTATTAATCGATAATCGAAAAAAATTATCCACAGATGAATCAATTTGCAAAATGATCGTTAGTTGCAGCCCCGTACACAAAAGAGTACACATTGTTGGATAAAGTGGTTAAAAAAAAAGAGAATCTAAATGTTATTTTTTTCATTAAGAGACATGCCAATCACAGAGCTGATTGATGAAAAATGTTCATACTTCTAAAGATGTACGTCGAAAAAAAATTACAATTGGAATTTTAGATACTAAGCAACTGTTTGCTTGGATGGTAAAGATATTACAACAATTATTTCAGAAAGTTTAAGGGGCACCAATGGATTGTTGGGGATAAATGTCTCAACCTACAGGATTTACTCTACTGTTTAACAGGAATGACATAAAGTTTAGCAGAAATAGACAGATGCAAACATTAAGATCATCTTTTTACCTTAACTTTGTGTTGGATTTAAGATCCTACCTTCATAAAAGGACCTGTATCTTTTTCATGAGTTAAAGTCCTCAGAATAAAATAATCAAGCAGATCAAAAAAATTGAAATTATTGCCTTTAGGAAATCTTGACCAGTGCATCAATGTAAAAACATTTAAATGTTTGCCCTTCTAATATACTCTGTGTTATTTCTATCAGTTTGTGACTGATTCAGAGTGTGGCATCCATTTGAAGGTGCCAAGCATTAGAGACAACAGGGAACGTTTCTTCCATCTCAGTCCGATTTGTTAAAGTTTTTTTTTTTTCAGTATATCTTTAATCCCCTTGTCCCCAGAGCTAGCTGTATGTGTGTGTATTTGTGTTTCTATATATGTGTGTTATATTGATGGAGAGGTTAGAGAGCACGGCCAGAACAGGACCACCCGGAATTCAACAGCAGCAGCCTGCAGCCACACACACACACAAACGCCGTATGTCCTGCTATCCTTTTGGGGACTTTGCATTGACTTCTATTCATTTCTATGATCTAACTCAGACCCTGCATCTAACCCTAACTATTACCAACACATACCTAATCATAACCCTAACTTAAACTCTATTCACACCTTAGACCTAACCCTAACCCCCAACCCAAGAAGAGAACTTTTCCCAATTAAGAACAGTTGACTGGTCCTATGAGGACCCCAAAGTCCCCACAAGTAAAATATTCCAGGGAAATTGGCTCCAAACTGTTCTTACAATGTAACAAAAACATGGCCCCTCTTTATAAAGAGTGAACAAGCTTTGCTATCACACTAAGATGCCTAATTGAGTGAACAACGGGACGCTTTGAGCAACAGCGGTTTGAATTTGAACTAAAATCATCTCAAAATGAAACAGTTGAGATGGTTCTGAAGCTAACGGCGTGTGATCAAGCTAACCTCCATTTTCGTTAAATGCTTTTTCATACACTTTGCAGGTTTCATCACAGAAATATCCTGGTTTGGCAAAGTTGATCATATTTTGCTGAAGCATTATAAACATAATATCTTTTCATAAAATATATTATATGATTTATTATACTTATTTCAAGATTTCTTTTCAACTACCAATTCCTGTTTTACTGGTCTTAGTAACGGTTGAAAAGAATCATTAGTCTATTAGATTACTTTATATAAAACTTAAAATAAAGCTTTGGTCTGCTTTTCTTAGTATCATTGTAATGTTTGAATAAAAGATAGCTCCTTGTTGCCAATCTAGCTGTCTGACCGCAGGCTGTTAAAGACATTATACACCCACCCTACTGCTGAAGCCGTTAGCAGCCAAAGACCACCATGACGGCCTGACACAGACACACACATGCGCCGCATTCACACCGTTTATTGGCTGTTGATTTTCCTGGGTTGTTTTTTTTTTTTTTTTTTTGGATACCTCATCTCTTTTTTTTTTTTTTTTTTTTGGATACCTCATCTCTTTTTTTTTTTTTTTTTTTTGGATACCTCATCTCTTTTTTTTTTTTTTTTTTTTGGATACCTCATCTCTTTTTTGTTTTTGCTTTGATGCACATCTTTATCCTCCCCATAAAGGGAAACAATGCTTTTAATGCCTATTTATTCTGTTTCAAATGGTGCGATCTGTTTGAAACTAAAAATCCCTCCCTATCAATATTTGGGTAGATTTAAAACAACCCACCCTCCTCTCAAGTTTCTATCACTGCATCATCAGGAGAGGTATGTAAACACACATGGTGTCGCTACAACCACAGACTTTATTGGCTTTCGGGGGCTTCTTTGGCTCATACAGCATACACTTTTCCTCTTTTACACTCCAGTCACTCCACGCCTCTCCCTCCCTTCCGTCTCCTGCAGTCCCATGCTCCATTTGTCCTCTTCTTTCACACAACAGTGGCTAAGCTCACCCTGAGCAAAGGATTCCTTCACACTAAAACCTGTCTGTGTGGACGGAACATTGCTCTCCACCACCATTTGTTTTGGATCAGAACCGGTAATCGCTGGTGGATGGGAGGGGATCCAGGGAGAACTTTTAGTTTTACTCCTTCTTGTGTTGGAGAAGAGATCATCACCCATATTATTGCAGCAGATATAGTTCCAACGTGTTATAATACAGAAATATGAACTAAGTAAAAAGGATCACAGGGTGGAGATAAAAGTTTCAACCCATTGAACTGCAGCAAAGATTTCTATTACTTTAAAATAAATGTCATATTTCTGATGTCTGTTTAACTTTTATTAATCTTGACTTATAAAGGTTTTTTGAAAGTATTTGTTTAAAGGGCAACTCTTGACATTTTACTGATCTAATAGATTTTAAATCCGTTACGCTGTGTGCTCCGGAATTCATCACTTTTTTCATTTATTGATTAAATTTTCTGTCTAAAAGTTGTCTAAGCGTCCTGATCATCGTACAGAAATTTTAATCTGCATTTATCTGTGCCTTAGTTTAGTCCTTTTTTTTTTTTTTTTTTTTACTACTATGAAGTTAACAGAAGATCAAGCTTTTCACAACAATTGTATTCAAATATCTAAATCAGACTATATATGTACATAAAAAAATATATGTTTTTTGTTTTTTTTTTGTCTTTCCAGCTGAGCGAACAAATGAGGTCATCGTAGGAAGGGCCCAACTGATGGAGTTCTTGCTCAATTAATGAAAAGGAGCAACGGTAGACTGAGACAGCTGACTGACCAATCAGAAGCCTGGAAGCTGACAGACAGTCTAAAAGTTTGGGATTTTTTTTTTTATGAAGTTCCAATAAAGACTTGTTCACTTCACTGCACTGATTTGTGTTTTTTTTTTTTTTTTTTTTATTTAACTTCTTTTCTTAACATCTTTGTTGCTATGAAACCATAACACTCCCTACTTAAAAGGCAGCATAATCTTATAAGCAAATAAGGAGCAACATTACCCTGCTGATTTGGTCGTCCTGTAGCCACTCCCTCATCAGATCGCTGTCATCTCCATCGTTCTCAGTTACTCTGTTTACAGTGTTTCAGAGGGAGGAGCGTGAGACCGCACACACACCCACTGACATCCCGGTGTGTGAAGGTGTTTACACACGCACGCTGAGCAGCTGTGAGCAGCAGAGATGGGGAGGAAAGGCAGTGGGAGGGGGTGACCACAATGCTGTGTGTTAGGAGGGGGGGGTTAAGTTTATTTGTACACAAAAATGGTGTATGTGTCGGCCTTAGACCACCCAGCTCGGTCATGTATCAGTTAACGCCGGCTCCCCACCCTGACGAACACTCACTAGCCCAGCACAGGAGGAAACTGACTCAAGCCTGATGCTTTTTTTCTTTTTCTTTATTTTCTCATCTTCCACGTACTGAACGTCTTGCTATCGCAAGATTTATTGCATTCCACTGGTGTAGTTTCTCCTAAATTACAGATTAGAAGTTTCTCAGACATGTAGGAAGGAGATGGGAAGAAAGGATATCAGCATGTCTGATTTACTGTCCTTTACTTTCTGTTGTGTATGTAGGCCTGCTTGACTGAAAATATGCATAAGAGTCAAGTCTTAGTATGCAGTGAATTTTAGAAGTTAAATATGGTAAAAGATTAAACTTTAAAAAAAAGTATTACACATTCACAGAACTTCGATTTAAGTCCCTTAAGAAAAATAACTAAAGCTGACATCAAGAAAATGCAAAATAACAAACATAACGAAACTGGATAGTTTTGAGAAGATGTCACCCTGAAGAGGGAGACCAAATCTTTTTGGATATTTTCTTAGCAAGTAATTAAATTGTTTGTAGTGTGTCGTGTCTTAGTGGCTAATAATAAATGTAGAAGGTTCAAAGTCTGCCTAAAATTACCAAATTAAAGGAAAGCAAATATTGTGTTTACTTTAGCAGGAAACATTCAGCAAAATACAATTTTAAATCATTTTCACAATAATCAAAAATATGCAAATCAAGTAAAAAAATATCTGTCAGACTCTTATTTAGGGTGATGAGATGTCCCGATTTGTGAGAGACACTCCTGTATTTTTTATTTCTCTAGTTGTCCCAGAAACTGCAGCAATATTCCCCATTTGACAGGGTCAAATCAGAAAAAAATGCATATATACAGGTGGCTTTTTCTAAAAGCAAAGAGATCAGAGCTGCAGTGTTTGCCACAGATCATGACCATGTTACGATTGATGTTCTTAAAATTGAACAGGTAAAGAGTTTTAATACAAAGTATTCTGGAGACTAAGTTTCAAGAAAATATAGCCAAGCCGAAACAAAGACTTTTCTTTGTTTTCTAATTTAATGCAAGGTGAGTGCGATGTTAAGCAGTCCAGTAAAAATTAGTCACAAAGGAAGCAGCTGAAAAAGCCACGTCTGTCCCCCATCCCCTTATAAGCACCCTACTTGTCCTACATTTATTTTTGTTTTTTAGATCTACACTTATCCTCAGTTTTCCTATTTGCAATTCATCCTGCCAGTTTGGTTCGAAAAATTGTGCATTAAAAAAACATTTTGTGCATCATTGGATTTTTCTTAAAAAATGTTCCAGCCGATTTTTGTAACCCAGCTCTATTTTGGGGCTGCATCCATTAAAAACTGCAAATCCTTTCTGCAGCTACCAAACATCTTTTGTTGATCTGATTGTCTTCCTTACTGTAAAGAAAAAAGGCTTGTAATCAGCGGAAAATTCGATGTCAACAGATGCTAAAATGAGATCCTGCTGCCCCATTACTCCCCATTTAGCAACCAAACTCTTCTCCAAGAGGTCAATAACTTCCCCCAGAGAGAACAGATTATCAGAGACTTCCTACTGAATTTATCATTGGAGAAGATGGACTGTAGTCCTTTCAGATCCACACTGTCTTACGATATTACCCCACTTTGTGAGACAAAGCTAGTGACCGTCATGCAGTGGACATACAGTACCAGACTGTGTGCATTATTAGTCCCCTGTTTGTTAATTTACTGAATCAGCTTTAAATTTGCCAATATGTCTTGTTTCTTCAAACCTTGATCATCCAACCCAATTCACAAAACCAACCTAGAGTCAACAATCAAATGTCAAATTAATTATAACAAAGCTAAATTTGACCAGAGTGCTGCACACTTTCACCAAATACATCAAAAATTAACTCTTGTGTTTAATTTATTTTATTTTTTTATTATTCCACGTTGTCTCCTCTGACTGTGGTTCACTGAATTATGAAAATGATGCGCCCTGATAAAACCAGCAGTTTAAGCTGGTTAAGCAAACTAGTGACGGCAGATAATATTACCTGGTTTGCAAAACTATATTTCAATACAGGCTTTTCAGTTTCAAAAATTACCTTAAATCATCAAATACTGAAGAGGATTAATATTTCAGCTGCCACAAACAGTTTTTTAAACCCTAAAAGGTTGGCTGTGAAAGGCAAAAACTGCAGGAATATGAAATGGTGAAAGAAGAGAAACAATCAGTGCCCACGTTTGACAGAAACCAATCTCGATGTGGTTTCTGGGTCAGGCCACAGAATTGAGTCCATCTTGTTGAAGTGGCTTAAATCCCATAAATAGAAAACTTCAGTATTCACTTGTTTTGGAAGACTGCTCCGTAAGTACATGTCAGATTTTTTTGTATTTTTTGATGTTTTGGTGGATTTTATGGTAAGAAAAACTCCTTTTTTTATGGCTCGCATTTCCAACTTTTGAACTCTGTAACTGTGCCTGATTTTCCATCAAAGCCAATGTCAGTTTTTTTTAAACTCACTAGGAGTCATCTCAGGTTTGAACAAATGTATCAGTAACAGAAAACATTTGTTACATGAACCCTAAAGCCACAAAAATAATGGTTAGGATTTTCTTTGTCTCTTTATGTCAGCTGGTGTGACTTTCTCTTTTTTTAACCAATGCACCTCTCTGACCTCTCCCTTTGACCACATGAGGAGAGCTACCCTGCTGGGTGTGTTTGTATAGAAGTTTGTATATTTGTGCAAAGACTATAAAGTCCCTCCTGTACAACACCACCAGGCCTAAACCCCCACGCAGTCCAAGCGTAGTGGAGGCCTACCTGCTCGACAGACACCTGTAAAATCGTAAAACCGCACCATTGTACAGGTTCAAATATTAACCTCCATGTCTCTATAGGTTCAGTTCCAGAACTTTAACGTAGATCAGATTTCTAGATAAATTATTATTTCTTCAGCTTTGTTGAATTCTGACATATTTATATGATTAAGTATACTAATTTCACTACTGATCAGAGCAGCATACAAAACATTTTTTATAACGATTGTTCTTTGCAAATATTTGCAGTTGTACTTCTTGTGTTGACATCCAGAACATAAACATGTGATTTTATTTGCTCCAAGTGCATTTTTTTTTTTTTTTGTCTCTCCTTTAATGTTGTGCATGAAACAATAATAGTAAACAGAAAAATAAGACCTTTCGGATTTAAAGGAGACGATAGCCGATCCTTTCAGATGTGCTGGATCCAGACGGTCTGATGTCGTAGGCAGCTGCACTTCAAAAACTAGATCAGATTTCTATTACAATATGTGTGTCTGGTTTGATTCTGCTTTGAAGGAGTGGTCCATTTGTGACAGGGATCTTTCATCCCTTGTGTGGTGTGTCGGGGGGACGTGGAGCCGTTGCATTTTATTGTTGGAAATTCAACACCATCAAACTATTTCACATCAAAATACAAAGCACATACTTGTCTCATTAAAATTTCAGAAATATAAAATATGAGGTTGATTTTTTTCCCCCTTTAATTCCTGCTGTCAGACTTAACTTTTCAGAAATGTGTTTTTCCCATGAATGATCAGTGAAACTTAAATAAATTTCGAAGACCCATTCTGTAAACCTGATAAGCAATCTTAAAATCTATACTTATAACCCCCCGTTCTGCAGTCAGCTGGTCCCTACAAGTATCTGTAAGTCCCCACAAAGTAGTATTTTCTAGGGAATATGGTCTTACATTGTCCCCTTTAAGGTAACAAATACTTTGCCACATACAAACACGACGTCTGTTGTTTCCTGTTGGACAGAGCTCTGAATGAAGGTGGATGTGAAACAGATGTCATTGCAACAACATTTTCAACTTTGTCCAGAAATGGCAGGTGCAGAAAGACAAAAACATCGCCCCCACATGCAAACTACAGAGCCAATAAGACGGAAAGAATGAAGGCACACACTTTTATCAGGTCGGAGTCCAGTGGGTATAATATACATGTTGGGGGGGCGTAATGGGTGGTCATCAGAATGTTTTATGGATTTATGTTTTTCACAGGAAAGATTCAAGGTTGGTGATGTATTTCTATCAGTTTTCTTTAAATTAAACAATGGAACCGCAGACCCGAACAGCTGGGAGGGGACATTTGTGTTCTGTTCTACTGAATCTAACAGAATTGAAATGAAGTTTAGTTTTCTTCTTCACTGTTTCACATTTCTTTTAAAATTTGTACTGTTTGTAGTTGTTTTTGCTGTACCTGCATCTGAATGAAAATAAAATAAAGTCCTGCTTGTTTTTCAGAATTTGATAAGGAAAGCTGCATGGGGAGATTGTTACAGGGAGAAAAAAAAGGAAAGAAAACACTGGACCCAGTCTTCTTATAGATATTGAATATCCTCTATAGGATAATTAACTTTACTGGTCAATGCAAATGTACAATACAAATAAAATCGACTTATGGAGCAATCAGATAATACTAAATTTACTGCAAATATAGATTGTATTAATAACAATCAATCATTAAAAAAGCAGATGCCCGTGATACATCAAGAAAGGCACATAGGGAAATCCCAAATGAAGTACCTGA